TCATTGAATAAATTAAATTACAATATAAAATTATGATATTTTGATCTTTTTAGTAATTATTCATTTTATTCTTCCTATTTCTATAACAATATAAAAGAATAATTAATAATGATGTGGTAGTGGTGGTGATGTTGGTGGTGATGGTTGCGGTGGTGGTGGTAGAGTAATGGTTGAGGTGGTGGATGGTGGTTGCGGTAGTGGTGGAATGGTGGTTATGGTGGTGGTTGAGGATGAGTATGGATTTTAAGGAATGTAGTGGGCTTTATATATATATATTTTTTATGTAATGAATATTACATCAAACATCAATTTAATTAATGAAATTATAGATGTAATGTCAATTACATTATGAGATTAAAAAAGTCTAACCAAACAATGTAATCAGTCACGTAATGTAATTCTTATTTTATTATATGATTGATTACAGTGTACCAAACATAGCCTAGACTGCAACTTATTGCATTCAAGGCAGAGGGGAGTGGTTATGGTGTTTTTTGCAAATTTGGTTCTTAAAATAGTGAAACTTTTTAATTTTACTCCTAATTTTTTTTTTAATTTTCCCCCTTAGTTTTTGAAATTATTTTGATACCTAACCTTCATTCTGGTTCAGCCACTTGCATTTTTATTTATTTATTTACTTATTGAGAATAATAATTCATCTAACTCTACTAAGGATGATCACGAAGTGGGTTTTTAATATTTACATTTCCCCTGTAAGATTAAATATATACATGTTTCATCACCATCCCACATCAAGGGTGGGATGGGTTAGATGGAGACATAGGGTAGATTATATTCGAATTGGATTTTATTCAAAAAATATTTTTAAAAAGTAATTCACAGGAAGGGTAAGATTTATTTGTAAAATTTATACTCACTCTATTCAGTTCGAGTTTAAATAGAGACTCAACGAGTAAAATGAGCATCTTTAAATTTTATGTTTCGAATGTGTAATCAAATATGAATATAACTTCAATTTAAATTGAAATAAGATTAAAATCGGCTCAATTTTAATCGAATTCTAATTTTGAAAATTCAATTTCTAATTAAATTGAAAATCGAAAAACAACGTGGCTGATATTATTTTTTTATTTTTTAGAAGCAAAACCTAAGGAATATGGCCAGAAACAATAAGATATAAGTCGCATAACAAGTAATTTTGCAAAAACGTGGTAAATTGATCGTATCCTAAATTGGCATCAAAATTAATTTTGAACTAAATTGAATATTCAATAAAAGTTCAAGGATCAAATTGTGTGTTTATACGACATTAAGCAAGCTACTCTCTCGCTTATCTATTCTTTAATAGACCTCAGTGGAGAAATAGCACTACAGAGAAAAAGAGGGAAATGGGTTCAAGATTTTTATACGGAGATCTACTTCCTTTGATGGCTATGGTGTCTGTAGAATGCACAAATGTAGGTTTAAACACTTTATTCAAAGCAGCCTCTTTGACAGGGATGAGGGAAATTGGGTTCAGATTTTTAATAGTACCGGAGATCCTACTTCCTTTGAGTGGGCTAATGGTGTCTGTAAGAATGCACAAATTGTAGGTTAAATGGGTTCAAGATTTTTATACGGAGATCTACTTCCTTTGATGGCTATGGTGTCTGTAGAATGCACAAATGTAGGTTTAAACACTTTATTCAAAGCAGCCTCTTTGACAGGGATGATTTATTTTGTTTTCATAGCTTACTATAATGCAATAGCAACTCTTGTTCTTACACCGGTCCCCTTCATTTTTTAAAGGTCTTCAATTATTTCACTTTCCCTATTTCATATTTTCTTTTCAACTTGTTCATAAATCCAAAGCAATAGTAAAATGCTAATTTGATTTCTCTTTACAGTGCAGTAGTATCTTCATCAATCAAGTTCCCTCTTCTCTATAGAATTTGCGTTCTCGCTTATTCGGGTAATTATTAATTAACTTTGTTTCTTGGGAAGCATGCAGGGTTGTAGCTAATATTGCTGGAAAGAAAGGTCTATAATACACTTCTACAACTCTTTCTTCAGCCATGAGCAATCTAACGCCAGCTTTTACCTTTGCTCTTGCAGTTTTGTTCAGGTGTGTCTCAAATTCAAGGCTATTTTTATTTATTATTTGTTCAGAGGTTTTAATTATAAAAAGATGCCTTGGATATTGGTTTTAATTAAAAAAGAAAAAAAAAAAACAAAGAGGATCTAAGTGAATATTAAAAGATTAATTGTCACTATTATTAGGACGGTTTTACCTTAATACTATATCAAAAATAAAAGAGTTTGTTCTGATTGAAACACCACCAGATATAAATGAAAAATTAAAAATTCTTAAGTTTGTTCTTATTTATATTTTTATCCTTTCTATTTTAGAATAGATTAAACATGACTAGACTCTATCACCGATCAAATTAATCAAAATTGAAATTTTTCAAAAAGAGTTTTCATTTTTATTCACAATCTTAAACCTGTTTATAAATACTTAATACCTATATAATCAGATTGGCGCAAATAAGTTACCTGAAAAAATCCTACCTTAAGATTTTTACTAAACTTTTACTCAATAAGTTTGAAACTAGATTGTTAAGAACTAACCTTTCATTGGGTGCGACTTGTAAAGAATGGAAAATGTAGATATGAGAAGGTCAAGCACTCAAGCTAAACTTATTGGAACAATAGTTTCAATATCAGGAGCGTCAGTGGTGGTTTTCTACGAAAGCTCAACAATTTTTCTCCACTTCATCTCCATCAAACTCCATTTCATTTCATTGGCCTCTTGCTTCTGCACAATCTGACTGGCTTATTGGTGGCCTCTTGCTTGCTATAGGGTATCTTCTTTATGCACTTTGGTGCATCCTGCACACATCTTGACTTGGCTTATTTGGTGGCCTCTTGCTTGCGTGGTTTTCTACGAAAGCTCAACAATTTTTCTCCACTTCATCTCCATCAAACTCCATTTCATTTCATTGGCCTCTTGCTTCTGCACAATCTGACTGGCTTATTGGTGGCCTCTTGCTTGCTATAGGGTATCTTCTTTATGCACTTTGGTGCATCCTTGAGGTATACAAGCATTTAAGTTATCGAGATTTTAAATTAAGGAGGATAACTTTAAAATATTTAAAGGGCAAATCCTAGATTTGAGATTTATGATCTGCGATCTCACCATTGAGCACATAATAACTTTTTTATATATGAAAGCCCAAAGAATTAAAATAATATTGTAGG